TGCAATAGCTGAGAATAAGCCCAGTATAAAAACAGGACCACGATAAAAGGCACGATCGGATATATGGCTTACTAAGAGGAATTGAGCAATGCTGAAGACAACTGCAATTTGGAAACGTTCACTTATTCCATCTCAACACCCAAACCACCTTTCTGGAAAAAGGTGGAACTGCGTGCGATGGTCCACAGATTTAGAGGTGTACCACTTCGGTCACTCGAAACTGCGATATGAGACTAGGGGGGGGGTGTAATGGAGAGCTACATGCCGTTTCGGACCCCACCCACAATTAAGCAGACGCAGCGTGTCGTGCGACGAGGTATACGCCTAGCTACAGCCAAACGCATCACTTGTCTGCACTCTTTCCCACCTGGTTGCTCTATACTTGATCGCGATAAAGAAAAAGTTGTGCATGTTGTCCGCTGCAGGATTTCGGCAAGCGCATGCCGCACGTTCCGGATAGCAGGTGGAGTCCAAAAGGCATCTTGCTATCACAACTCTCAGCTTCATTTGCGCGTACTTTTGAGCGAAAGACTTGTACAGCTGCAGAATCCATCTCAGCGGTAGGCGTACAGCTTATCTTCATGGCCTAGAGGTCACAAACACCAGTTATAGAGTGTAAAGCGGGAGATACGCCTTGCAGCGAGCGCAGAAGTTTCCTAGTCAATTTATAAACTGCACCTCAACGTCAAGTCAGAGCAAATTCGAAGCCATGGTGCGAATGCCGCGCAAATACCACCTGGAAGTCAGCTTTTGCCTCTTGGCCGCGGCGCGGATTCTCCGCACATTTCCGATTGTATTGTACCACGACTAAAATGCCAGTAAACTTTACCGTTCGGCCAAATTTGTCCTCGACGTATTGCTTATGCTCATAAAATCCTTCAACAAGGTGGTCATGGAACTGTTTGGTGATTTCCGAGCGAGATGCATGAGCATACAGACAGAATTCCAAAATTTCCACCTTAATTTAGATAAAATGATTGCGCTGTCTAAACAGTGAAATAGAAGCAGTCTATTTCAGACTACAAACGTCAGATTCGAAAATAAGTTAGCAAGAAAAGGACAGTACCTGTTCAATTATTAAAGCACTTAAATGCATGGCAAGCTGCTTCTCCTCAGAGTCGTAGATTCTAGAGCACTCATCAGAGAAGAACACCTTCAAAAGGAACAAATTGCCACAGAATGGAATTTGTACTGTTTAGCAGCTGTTGCACCATTCTGTACAAGTCAGACTCACCTCATAATTACTGATACCGCCCATTACAGCAGGACGAACTACGCCAAGAATCTCCCCAGAGAGCTTTTTTACAGCATGTACACGATTAAGTAGCACTAATAGAGCCGTTTCCATCAGTTCTGTGTTCTTCCGTTGCATCTGATCGACTGAACGTCGCAGCGGATTTACGTAGATTGGTGGTGAAGTGGAGATTATCTTCAAAAGGCACAAATAGGGCTATAACTTTAAGGCTCCACATTGAAAAAGAAACTGGGTAATGTGTAACTTTAGGCAGAAATTGGACGGCAGCAGCAACGACGGAGGGTAGGGTCATTTTGTGCAAGTTTCTTTCTCCAGAGCCTCAAGTGGAGATGTGAAATCTTGAGAAGTCACAAAATGATATAAGCTAAAGTTTGTAGAGGCCACCGGACAAGTAAAGCAATGAAAATATATACGCAATACAAAACATTAGTCAGGCAGGGCTCCGTAACTGGGTGAAGCAGCGAAGTGTCGATAAATGCCAGCGGGTAGAAATGTCTGCCACTTTTGTAAGCCCCCTTTCCCACAATCCGAGCTGCGCCCCTTTTCATAATCCCTGGCCTCCTATTCAGATCTATTTCGCACTCTCTACGCCCAGGCACTCCCAATCGATTGCCGCGCGTACGACACACCTACAGGTGCGCGATGTCGCGTGTTGACCTCTTTCCATCTACAGTGATATCGTCAGGGCGGTGTCAAGAAGGCAATAAATGAGCCCATTCGCGGCGTTTCCACCACTAGTTTTCTTGCTGAATCGATCAGTACTGGTAGATAACGCTGCTAGTATAGGGCTCATCCCACCTTCCAGACACAGCCCCGACTGATTGCGACGATGTCAGCTACGATGTCACCAGTCAGAGATCGCTTACCTGAGTAGATCGTAAAATGCCCGGCAATCGCTCGTAAGTCACCAATGTTCGCTTGACTATCCAAGTTCGCATGAGCTCCGAATCTTTGACCGCAGTCCACTTCGTATCCTTCCGCTCTTCTACGCGACTATACTCAAAGTCACGGATCTAGAGGAACCAACTTCGAGAAATTGCCTTACAAATTTTAAGAAATAACTAGATAACACACGTTATAATGCCTGTAATAGTCCTTAATCGATGGATTCACGTGAGCGTCTTTGAACGGGCAAGCAGTGGGTATCGGATCGATGTTGAACACCTAAGGTAACAATTGTGCTTCGATTCAGGACGAGAAATGAAGAACTTCAGATAAGCACAAATTCCAGTAAACTACCTGCATATATCGACCGGGAGTGTTTTTCAAGTGGGAACAGTCATCCATGGACATAATTGCTTCGGGACCGCCGTAAATCTAGAAGATCCATAGGTTTGATTAATAACATTACGAGCTATTGTTTTATTGAAAAGAAACGTGTGCGAATGGGGAAGAGCCGAAACCAATCAAGGCTCCAAGCTGGACTTGATGCGCCGCTAGCCTAGCATCGTTGACGTTCTACTTGAAGCAGGTAAGCGACAACAGCTGGCGAAAAGCGACTGATATGAAGCTGCAGGAGGGGGAGGGAGGTGCACGGCGGAGCGGCTGTGTCTACTCGTTCGCACCTTCTCATGAACACAGTGATCACTTCCTGTCTCCGAGTTTAGCATGGCTTGGTCTCGCGGAGTGCTACCCCTTCCCACTCAACTACGGTAGCGCCAAAACTTCAAGTAATTACCAAGCATACCATAAACCGTAAAAAGGCTTCCCATAAAAAAGGAAAA